GCCTGGAACATACAGGGCACCTGCCACCACGTCCCGGCTTGAAAGCCTCCGTTCTCAGCCTCCCACAACAATCACACACGTTCTGCAGGAACACCTCACACAAAGCTCTGTTTTCAGCAGTGGACTTCAGAGCAGTGGGGAACTGCAGACAAGCAGAACTCACGCTGTTCATCCAGCCTGGAGAGACACCCGTGATGAAAACCCCCATCCCCAGTGGAGGGTGCAGGCTGCCGCAAACAGAGTGTTTCTGAATGGAAACCCTTGCTTTGGCAAGGCCACCAACTGTGTCACACCCGGGTTTTTCTCTCTTTCCCCCATTTAACATTAACAATTGAACTGCGTCAAAGGGCAGGGCCCACATGGTACCAGGCAGCTGAAGGAATGAAGCACAAAGGGATATTTTAATAAAGATCAGAGGCAGCACAGCAACACAAAATGGATGAGGAGAATGAGCCAACTGCGTGGACAGGAAGATAAATGGTGGCGAGAGACAATCGCCCCGTCAAGCACCCAGAAACAGAGATGCAGACATTTGTGCACAAATTCCTGCTCCCAAAGGTGCTTGTTGAAAAGGAGATGTGTGTTTTGCCTTATAGAAAGCATCAGTTCCTGCAGGGGTTAGAAACTCATGCTGGGCAAGCCTGGTTGGAGATGCAGAGCTCGTGGCACTATCTGCTTTGGCCTCACATGAGGATCTGAATAAACAGCTGGTAAAAATAGCTAAGGGCACACAGTGCCAATGCCCCAAGTGATGATACCTTAGTTGGGAGCAGCGACCTTTGCACCACACTGACACTGGTACCAACGGGACAAAGGTGTTTGAGCAGCATTTTCTGCTGTCACCATTTCACAACCAACTCCTGTTCCCACTTTGCTTCAGGAATACAGCAGCGAGATGGGATAATGCAGAGAGGGGAGGAGAGATTTTACTTGAAACACACCCAGAACAGACAATAGCACATCAGCTATGACCCATATGGGGTAGACACATTTACTTGTCTATAATGAGAGTCTTCCACATACCACATCTGCTGTTAGCACACTTACAATACATACTCACATACTCACTTCTCCACAGCTAATGACACAGGCTGAGATTACACACAAATCCGAGGTGTATGGTCTTACCTAACAGGACCACTGATCCCAGCTCCCAGCTTCTGAGTCCAGTTAATGTTGTACTCCTCTAAAATGGAGGTTTCCTATTCAAGAAGGAGCAGGGGGAGGGGAAAGAGAGTAAAGAAAATAAATTAAAATAAATGAATTACTACATCCCTTCCAAAAGGACCCAGCTCAGCAGACCTGATCTGCAAGATGCGAATGGAGAAAGAGCCTGCTTTGGAATCTTGCTTCACACCAGGAAAATTAAACATAAATACAAATGCTCACCTAATAACATATCACAGTTTAAAGTTATTTCTGTGCAGCTGAGACTGCTCACTTAGCGTTTTGAAAATGGATTATTGGGAACAGTAAATGGGATCTTGCACCTTTAATACAGGAAGGATATCAAGAGCAATTCCCACCCCAGCTCTTAAATCCAGCTTCCTATCTATAAATCATCAATCACAATTGAACACAAAGGCCCAATTTTAGCATTACTAAGTATTTTTTGGTCATAGAAATAATGAAAGTAATTATGGAACAGTGGAAAATGATTTTGCTGCTTTCTTTGGGTTTCCAATCCTTTGGAATCATTATCCTGTAAATTAAACCCTGCATGACTGGTTCATTATCAGACAAGCTAAAACTAGGCTCATGTTTGTAATCCTTTTGTCCAAATCCATATAAACAGGGTTTGGTTTCAATATGACACAGGCTATCATGCTTAAACATGTCACAAGGCAGGATGTAAATGTAGCTTCAGTGTGGAACACTTTGATTAATGCTGCTGCCATGTGCTGCTGCACAGATGGTGATCCAACAACAGAGCAGGGCTGTTGCTGGAAGTGTGTGCAAACTCAAGCCACCAAATAAAACACTCATAACAAAGAAACGTGATGAACTGCAAGAAACTGCCCAGAGAAGCTGTGGCTGCCCCATCCCTGGCAGTGCTCAAGGCCAGGTTGGACACAGGGGCTTGGAGCAACCTGCTCTAGTGGAAGGTGTCCCTGCCCGTGGCAGGGGTTGGAGATGCAGGAGCTTTATGGTCCCTTCCAACATAAACCAGTCTATATTCACTCATAGAATGGTTTGAGTTGAAGGGACCTTAAAGCTCCTCCAGTTCCAACCCCCTTCCACAGGCAGGGACACCTTCCACTAACCTTCAAACAAGGAAACTGAGAACACTCCTGCTCTTGACTAACTGGGAATGGCAGCCCCTGACCTGGGATCATTGGCCTCCGCTGCAATAGTTATGGATTAACACTATTGCCAGGCTGGAGCCAGACCTCAAGCCACATGGCTTGAAAAACAAAGCAAGTGAGGAAAGCTGATATTTAAGGCAAGATCTGAAGAGATTAGAGAGTGCAAAACACAGATATGAAAGGAAAAATTGTGTTACCGCAGTCTGGAGTATTACACAAATCACACGTGACTATTGTGAATGGTGTAAAGGGAAAAGTTTAAGTTAACTGGAGGTTTTATAAACGGTTTTAAAAGAAAGGGGAAGGAAAGGATAGTGGCTCACACGTGGTTTCTTGTTTTCAAGTAGAAACACACAGAATTGCTTATGAATTCAACTAACATAAATGTCACTTGTGAGAAGCTACTGGGGAAGAGTCGATTTCATTTTCCTGATGTTCAGCTACAGAGAATTGAAGGCATCAGAGGTGGAATAAAACCACAACTGTAGAAGAGCCTTAACAAGAGGAGAAAGGGTTTCTCTGGACTGGGAGCACATCCTCAGCACTTGCTTTCAAGTTAAGTTTTGAAGAAACCACTGAAGTGGAGAAGCAAATGCCAAAGGAGTCCAGAGCAATGCTGTGATTGAGTGATAGTAATTCTGCATTATCTGTACACAGAGCTTTGAAGTGTGCTGCTCCTCTTCCAAAACCAAAGGACCTGCTTGCCCCAAAACCTCCCCAGCCCTTTCAACTGCACTGGCTGGGCTAACAGGAGATCGTGTCTCCACACACAAGCCCAGTCTTGACTGAACAGTTTCTGCTGCCTCATGCCACTTCTGCAAGGGCACGGAGACTATTTGCTTCATCCCAGCTGAGTAAGTGGAACAGAGAAGCTGGTTGGGAATTGGAAAGCCTGAGATCTATGAATCAAATGAAGTGAGAAGAAGATCTGGTATTTCTCAACTCCCAGAGGACAAGTTCAACCACTACAAATACGTCCGTTTTTAATAGAAATTCATTTCCTCTTTCATATTCTGCATCTTTGCCATTGTTTTGAATAAAAAACCCAACATTTTTGCTATCTGCATTTTTTTTGGATTCCAACCTTCATTCCAAAGCAGCTTCACAACTCAGAAGTAAAAATGAATAATCTACTGATCGAGAAACACTATTCACCATGTCCTAATGATCTGAAATACAGTATTTGAGACCTTTGATGCCCACCAAGGTACCGAATTGCTCACAGCTCCCAGTTAGCAACAGCAGCTCCAAAAGTAGCACCAAGACTACACAGCTGCAAATCAACACAGGTTCATAACACTCAAACAGGGTGAAAAACTGAAAATGTACAGATATAAAACTGCCTGGGAAAATACCAGCAGCTGTTCCAACCGGTAATCCTGGATGCTTTGCCTCTTCATTTAGATTAATGTCCTGTGGATGCCAGCAGCAGAGGGATTGGTATCCCTCACTGAACACATCTGGAGAACAAAATACCTTACAGTAGCACTGCTGCACGGCACTAAACTTGTGTTCAGACTGGCTGACAGGTCAGCTGGAACTAATCTGCTGCTGCTGGGAATGGAGGAGGCAGAACAGTGCCAGAGAGAGCACTTTCCCAAAGAAAATCTGCACTATTTCTTACAGGAAACCTTTTTCTCCTACTGGGAAAGGAACTTCAAACTTCTGATCACTCCTCACATTAATCTCCAGCAGGCAAAGGGAACAAACTGATTTGAAATGTACTGAATCACACAAGTTTCATAGAGAGTTCTCTCCAATAGCACAGTTCTCTTTCAGCAAGCTCAGGGTACCCAAAGCAACAAGGTTCGAGCATCCTCCCATGCAGAGTCAGCAGTCTGGGATGCTAACAGGCTGGAAAGGCAGGGCTTGGAGACTTCTCCCAGCCTCATCTGCTGTCAGACAGGGTTGGACACGCATCAGGACTGCTCAGGGGAATGTGCAGGTGCTCCTCAGCCTCCGCTGAATCCCAACAGGAAAAGGTTTGAAGTAAGGTACTTCACAAATAAGGTGCATCCACCCCAGGCAATTGAAAGTCCACAGACTGCTGCTTGGGCAAGCTCCACGCATTCAACAAGTGAAACGCCAACAGCAGCATAACTCCACCTCCACTGCTCCAACACGCAGCCTTCTTGTACCCTGCCTCCAGCCTGGTCACAGATCTTAAACCTGCAGACGCAGGTGGAAATCAATCAAACCAAACAATAACCGAGTATGAGAGAAGTACAAAAATCAGCGTAATACATAAAAGCACTAAATTGTGGTTTAGACTCAGACAAACCCAAAAGATTTGCCCAAAATCTGTTCTCGGTCAGAAGTCCTTGGCTGAGAGGGGCAGGAGATGGGTATAGGATTGTCCCTGCACTCACACAACCACTTCAGCTCCTTGGGGTCGGTTGTAACCTCAAGAGCTCTGATGCAGATCTTTGCTTTCACACGAAATACCACAGAAATACTTGGAAAACCTTCTTTTTGAAAGCCTTCGGGACAGCTGCTTCACCTGCACGGGGCCAAGCTGGACAATAAAGCAGGAAGAGACAGTAGATCATTTCAGTACTTGATTGTGTAGTGTAACAACAGTCTGGGTTGGCTGAACACAGCGCTTGGGCTTCTTTCTACTTGGAGCTTTTTTAGTTCCAAAGGCAAACCCCACATATTTTAAATCAATCCACATTCCGAGAACTCAAGCCTGTGCTGACACATCTCTTGCACCGATTATTGCCCCCAGCGAGCAAAAAGACAAATCCCACCGTGGCAGACAGCCGAGGGCTAGGGAAAGGTGGCAGATCGTAGACTCACAAACAGGTTTGTGTTGCGAGAGACCTTAAAGACCATCTCATTCCAACCCCTGCCACGGGCAGGGACACCTTCCACTGGAGCAGGTTGCTCCAAGCCCCTGTGTCCAGCCTGGCCTTGAACACTGCCAGGGATGCGCCATCCATCCAAACGCCAATCCACAGGGTCTTTTTACCTACGTCCTTAAGGAATTCATACACCTTATTAGAACAAGCACAGATGAGGGCACGCAGACAGTGACAGCGCACGCTTTGCACAAGGTAAAGAGCCTGCAGAGAGTCTTTAAACCACTGCTTTACTGTCACTTCAGCCTGGCCTTGAACACTGCCAGGGATGCGCCATCCATCCAAACGCCAATCCACAGGGTCTTTTTACCTACGTCCTTAAGGAATTCATACACCTTATTAGAACAAGCACAGATGAGGGCACGCAGACAGTGACAGCGCACGCTTTGCACAAGGTAAAGAGCCTGCAGAGAGTCTTTAAACCACTGCTTTACTGTCACTTCATCTCAAAAGGGCTTCC